CGCCGCACCTGGGCGCGACCCGGACTACAGCTCCCAGCGGCCCCTGCGCGCGAGGCGGCCCCGCCCGCCTTCCCGCCCGGCCGCCATCGCAGCGCTCTCCCCGCCGCGCCGCCTCGGTCTGGGATCCCGCCCACCGACCGGGGAGCGGCGGAGCTGCTGAGTGTGGTGTGAGGAGCCGGCACCGCCCGGCCGCGGCCCCGTCTGCGGGCCGGGGAGCGCCGGGGCAGCCCGCGGTGCCGGTGCGGGGGCCTGTGAGGATGAGGCGGCTGTTGGGGGACGGGGGAGGGTGGAGAGAAATGGCTGGCACGGAGAAGAGCCCCGTCTGTGAGGGAAACCAGGCCGCATCTGGCGGGTCCAGCTGCCCTCCCGCCCACGCAGTTGCCAGTGAGGCGGCCAGGAGGATGCTGAGCTTCCAGAGAGGCGGTTTCCAGTCTCTCCTGGAGCTAAATCCAGAGCCTGGCCGTCCCCAGGCGAGGCGAGCGGTGCTCAGGCAGCACCAGGTCCGGGAGCTGCGAGGCGAGGAGCAGAGCTGTGCGGGGACGCAGTGACACCGTCGCCGCAGCCGCCAGGCCCCACGGGTTTTCGTCCTCCGGGCAGGTGCCCGCGTAGCGGCCCGCGGTGGAGGGCAATGCCTGTAGGCCCGCAGGCTGCTCCCTTCCAGCTCTACCTGCTGTAGCCAAACCAACCTGTGAACCTTTTCCGATGAGATGTTTGGGTTGGCTCCGTTGCGCCTTCTCTGAGCCCCCTCTCGTGGCTGGAGAATCCCGCTCCCAGCGCCCTGCGGTGCCTGCCTGGCTCTGCTTTGTGAAGGTGCTGAGGGTCGGTCTCTCCTGGCAGACAGCTGAGCACGGTTTTCATTCTGAGTGGAGGGGCTGCCCCTCTCCTTCAGGTTATTTTGTGGTATCAAGCTGCCCAGCAGAGGATTTGCCTCGAATTGTTCATTAGAGGAATCACAGAATGAGTACGCTGCTAAATGATCAGTGACAAATCCCCCAGAGCAGATGGCGTTTGCTCATTAGTCTTAAAAAAAACCCAGCAGTTTTCAACAGAGCCAGGGAAAACCCCAGGAACTATAGTGCAGTGTATCTGATACCCCCAGCATGCAAATTATTAGGAACCACTCTAACAGAGTTAGGGGCCACATTAAGGGCTATTAAATACTCATAGAAATGCCAGATCATGGTTCATTAGCAGTCTAAACGTGCAAAACTGGAGTTAGGGATTACTAGTGTAAAAATGGTTCAGAGAAGAGCAACAAGGAAAAGGGCTTCACACAATGCACAGTTTAGTAGGGAGCTCCTGACAGCAGGGCAGTAAAGATGCTCGCTGTTGAGGTGGGTTTAAAAGCAACAGGACAAATTAATGGTGGTAAATCAATCAAGAGTCATAAATACAAAGTTGCTGTCCTTGGCTGAGAAAGGCCTTTGGCTGCGGGTTGCTGGAGGCTTGGATCCTTCAACACACACTCCTGACGCCTGCAAGAGATGGGGTGCGTGCTGGGTCGTGTTGAGCATGACCAGCTCTTGCCGTCCCATGCTTTATATTGCGTTCTTCCCAGTGGGATTGGTTATTCATGATGACAAGCGTGCTGGGTCCATGCTGGACCAGGCCTGGAGCTCCTTAACTTTGCATCTATTGCTTCAAGAATTTAATTACTTCTGGCTGCATGACATGAGCCTTAGCTCTTGCAGAGTGATGGGCACAGCCACGTTAGCGGTTCAGCTTACGGTTTTGTGAGCACCTTCCCTATCTGCAACATGGTAATGGGGTGGGAGGCTATCCCATTTCCCCCTGCAGCTGACAAGACCACCCCATGCTCCCATGAAAACTGCCTGATTGAGACTATCAGCCATTTACGTTTTTAAAACGTGCCTTTATTTTCCTCACAGGAATTTTACCCAGGCATATTTGGAGAGTTTTCTGCATTTGTCTAGGATTCCTGGACATCTGACTAAGCTGCTGGATGCTGAGAAGTCCTGCACAGCCACATCTCATGCGAACTGACTGTAAATCACACAGTGATCCCAAAACTTCTGGCATACATACCGCTGCTTCTGGGATGCCGAGCTGCTTTGCATGTGCACAGGTTTGCCTGTGTCCCCAGCCTGTGGGATTCCCTCTGCACACTGGTGTGTCAGTACAGTGCCTTCCTGGAAACATCGGCTGTCATATGCTTTCTGCAAACTGCTTCTGCTCTGTAGCAATCGCAGCCAGAAGGATGGCAGCCCTATTCCAGATCTGACTTCTCTTGAAAATGGAATATATCCCCAGAAAAAAAAAAATATTGGCTGGAAGAGGAGACTGTTGTCTATGACTACGAGCCTCTTGCCATCCTTCCATCATCTCAGACACCCTGGATCCCTGACGCATGTGACTACAGTCCCATCTCTGCTTTCCTATGATCTATTCCTTCAAATTCAGTCCAGCTCTGGCCTTCCTCCTATTTCAGCAGTGAGTTTCTGAACAAAAATTCATTATTCCATGTCTGCTCCTGCGATGATCAACATGAGAACATATGGCTCGGCCAACCCCTGGATCCTGAGCAAAAACCATGTCTGTGTGCTCCCAGCAGCTAATATCTTTAAGTACCAGTTTCCTTCTTTTTGGTCTCTCTGAATTTCCTTTAACTGCTCTATTATGAATAACTGCTTTATTTATAAAATAAAATCACTTTCTAGAATGGTCTAGATTTGTTCTTCTTACCTCTATCAGCAGCCTGTTTGTCTGAAGTTAAAAAAAAAAAAATTCCTTGGTTCCTTTATGTTCACTGAAAAATAATTTTACACCACCAGCCGTGAGAGCCGTGGTAGATACATGCAGGAATCGGACAGCTTGTGAACTACGCTCTCTTTGAAGATTTTGATTACCCTGACATTATCCTGTGAATGCTGCTGCTTTTGTTTCAAGCTCTTAATGGCATTTTTTTGATGCCTTGATTAGTTTTGGTCACTTCTTTTGGCACCTCTGGTCCCAATCCACTGGCCCAGGACACTGTTTGACTTAATCCTCTGGCGTGACCATTCCCAAGCGCCTGGCCATGCGAGACCCTGGCACGTTTAAACTGCACCCGTGTGTGCAGATTATGCTGGGTGAAGTCGAGCAGGTGCCTAAGCATTTTTGGAAATAAAACTGGAGCGGGTAGAATTCCCAGCTGGAGATTGCACACTGACCTGGCTTGGGAAGCTGGGAGACCCACCGAGAGTGGGGAGTTTTACAGCCTTTCCCACTCCCACGTCCCACTGCCAGTACAACACTAGATGGCGTGGGGACCCACGGCACCTGCCCAGCTCCAGGCACAGCTCAGCCTCTGTCCCAGTGCTCACAGAGGAGTCCCTGAGGGGAAAACTTCTGGTCTCCTGCATCCTCTGGGTCTGCTGGATACTGTTGGCTAGATGGGGAGGTCGCAGCAAGCAAAAGAGAAAGGACAGCCAAAGCCAGCCCCGTGGTGTGCAGGCTGCAACAGGCACGTCTGCTGGTTGGGGAAGACACTGGGAGGTGAGATGTACTGAACTTTGGGCTCTCTACCCTCCCAGAAAGGGTAGAGAGTGTCCCTCTGTCAGACGGCAAGGCATGCCACCGTCCATGCTGGGGAGGGAACAGGCATGGACCCCACTCACTCTCTGCGGATGGGGTGATGTACTTCACAAGCCTGGTCTCCTCCTCCAGCCCCCTTCAGAGCAAACAGCCTCAGAGCAAAGACCAGAGCCAGGGTTTGCAGCAGCGGACCCTGAATTTTGGAATGCAGGGACCCTTTCTGAAGCTGACGGCCAGCCTTTAACACACCCCCTCGATCTGCTCCAGAGAAAAGAAAGAGGGATATGTGAGCCTCTGAAACCTGACAGCCCCTGCCTCACGCCTGTGGGAAGCCAGCTGGAGGGGGCAGGTCTGTCCAAGTCTGCTGGAGGCTGGCATCTGCAGCACCATCTCAAGCACCATGTGTTCCACACATCCTCTGAGTCATCTGGCAGAGGTTTCCCAACCTCCAGGGGAAAGAAGGCTCATCCCCACATGCTGTGGCAAGGTCAGCTCTGGGGTATGTCTCTAACTCTCTACAAGGCCTTGGGGAACCCTGTGGAAGGTCTGTCGCCATCGTGACCGACTGCAGTGGGTCATGTCAAGGTGCTCATGTCATTGTCCTCTTCACAGTGTGCCAATGTGAGTTGTGGCAACTGATAATGCCCCACTCAGTAATATGGCTGTACCCTGTTAACTAAGACCCACACATTCACTTCAGCAGGGCCCTGAACACCCGGTTAATATGTTCCTAATGCCACTTGTTCCTAATGTCCCCGACTGATGAGGTGACCTACTGTGGTCCGAGCTGTTGGATGGGCCGTGCCCAGCAAGACTAGGTCCTTCAGGTCACCTCTGATCTGCTTGTCCATGCTAGGTCAGGGGCTGGGTTCCCCCAGCAAGTGATGGCCATTCATGCACATTGTGCAAACCCAGCATGGCAGCGTGGCTCCTCTCCCACTTGCAAGGCAAAAGACATCCTGGTTCTTTGTGACAAAAGCCTTCCCTGCACACAGGATGTGAGCAGCACATTCCCCTTGTGATCCTCGTCCCCTTTCTGTGTTCTAGGCCTTGGTTCAGGACCAGGAATTTCTTACCCAGAGTTCAGGGCAAAATTACTGTCAAATCTAATGCCAAAGTTTTGCAGGTCCAAAGGAAGCACCTCCCTGCTGCTGCCCTCCCAGCCCTCCTCCCTTCCTCCCAATTTCAGTAATGCACTCCCAGCAGCTGGAGCAGCCTGGGCTCCTCAGCCATCCTGCAAACAGGCTGCCTGCCCTCAGTGAGCCGCTGTGGCTCAGAAGAGGAGAATGAGAGGGAAGGGTCCCATGAGCCCCAGAGAGCAGTAGACAGTCTCTTTGTGCCAGCTGCCTTTTTTCTTTAATGCCTACTTACAGTTTTCGAGAAGAAAAAGGCCAGCCGAGGCACGAGAAATTAA